TGTCCTGCAAGTGACCCACACAAGTGTTCTACAAGAGTGTCCCACAAGAGTGTCCCACAAGAGTGTCTCACAAGAGTGTCCCACAAGAGTGTCCTACAAGAGTGTCCCACAAGAGTGTCCTACAAGAGGGTCCCACAAGAGTGTTCCACAAGAGTGTCCTATAAGAGTGTCCCACAAGAGTGTCCCACAAGAGTGTCCTATAAGAGTGTCCCACAGGAGTTTCCTACAAGAGTAACCCACAAGAGTGTCCTACAAGAGTGTCCTACGAGAGTGTCGTGTAAGATTGTCCCACAAGAGTGTCCTGCAAGTGACCCACAAGAGTGTCCCACAAGAGTGTCCTGCAAGTGACCCACACAAGTGTTCTACAAGAGTGTCCCACAACAGTGTCCTACAAGAGTGTCCCACAAGAGTGTCCCACAAGAGTGTCCTATAAGAGTGTCCCACAAGAGTGTCCTACAAGAGTGTCCCACAAGAGTTTCCTACAAGAGTGACCCACAAGAGTGTGCTACAAGAGTGTCCTACAGAGTGTCCCGCAAGAGTGTCCTACAAGAGTGTCATTTGGACATATTAGTTTGTCGAACGTGTTTGCATTCGGGTTCGTGGGTTCCATCTTGTTTTGTGTTTTTTTGAGTGTCCGTTGTACAGGTCTGGCCATCTGAAGGTGGGCACAAGGACGCCTCTCTTAGCCGATGGTGCCTTTGACTTCATGCAAATCTCCAGCTGTTTATCAGCATCATTTGTGGAGTGAATTGTTAGAAGCCAAGGGGGAGCTTTTGCGCCTTGAGCAATGGATTCAATGTTTGGCATCGAATCTGATAGACACTTGGTTCAAGGCTGTTTTCTTGACAGGGGATAATTCACCTATATCATAATCTTATATGTTCTTTGGTAGGGTTACTACTTCACTATGATCTATGTGGTCTATGTCATCTTGGAATCACAAGTGGGGCTGGTTGATGGATAGCCGTCCGTCGCCAGGAGTTTGCTCCACGTCAGGAAGGGAGTCAAAATGTTCAGAGTGAGATGATGAAGTGCCCTGAAAAGGGAGCGAAATACTGTAATTGAGTGGTATTGAGCTGGTTGTTCATGGTTGGTCCACTTGTTTGGCCAAAGCCGTAGGACCGGCAGATGGTGTGAACAGAGAGAGGCTAAGTGTTTGTCCTTGAGATTTTGCGAAGACTCACAGAATGACTCATATATTGTATTATGATTATATCGATATATTATAACTACTGAGCAAAAAGGCCTTCAAAAGGCGCTTTCTGATTAGTGTACTAGATGTCTCCTTAGTTGAGAGTTCACTTGCAGCATCGGTTTCAACAGGAAAAGGTTCATTGAACCTACAACTTACATGGTGTTTGTTTGGATTGTTTCACACCTGCAGCCTTGTTTCTGTCATGTATGTGCTTGTTCGTCTCCACCATCCACGCTATTTCTCGCACAAAGTTCCACATGCTTCAAAAATCACCACTGCCACTGCCAGCCATTGCCACCTTTTTTTTACGGCTCAGGCTGTTTTTCAATCTCACAGACTGTGGCTTTTTCTTGGAGACACCGGTCCTTCTTGCCAGGTCCGGTCATAACTTTTACAATTCGTTGGTTGAATAGAGAGGTTACCCCCAAGTGTACATCAATAGGTCAATGGTACCAAACCGACCCTTCTACACGACCCAAACCGACATCACTGGGTCTGGCTCCCAGGTACCTGCAGATTCGCTTCAGCGCGAAGTCGCGCATCAGCGTCGAACGCATCGTCAGCGGTCGAGGCGTCGAGGGGCGGATCCCAGAGACGTGGATAATGGACGGATCTGTTTGTTCGTGTTTTTTGGCGGTGCGAAGACGGTGCGAAGACGGTGAACAAGAAGATAGCCAAACAATTCAGACGCAAACATGAGACTGGCAAGAGGGTCTTGGAACAAACGGTTTTGAGTTCCATGGCTTCTGAAATAGGATGCCCCAGTAAACCGTATAGGGCCCGTACTAAATCGCCGACATGAATCCGGTCGACCTCGAGGGTCGGTCGGACCGGGTCGATCCCACATCCGACACCATCTCCCCAGTTGGGATCCCTTTTTGGACTTACTTTGGGCACCAAATAGCGTGAACAGCGAGAGAAGACACCACCACCACAACCCCCATTTTTGGGTGACATGTTGGCGAAGTGTTTTCAGCCAGCGGGGGGAGGCATTGCCAACATCTACCAGTTCATGGCCTGGAAGTATCCGGAGAAGATCAACCGAGCACAAAGCTCAGCAAGAGTCAGGGGAGAGCGCAGTCAGCACATTGGTTTCAGCCTTCAAGAGCTTTCTATAGGCTAGAGTTTCAGGAACTCAAGTGTTTGGTGACGTGGTATTGGCGGGATCATATGCAGCTGTCACACGGGGAGAGACGAGCAGGAGGGTTGTGCAGCAGTCAGAAGGTGAGTGATTGATGAAAGGATCACTCAGCCACGTTTTTTTTGATTTCCCGGCGGCCCTGGTGAGGGCATTGTCTCTTCAATCATGGGAATCTACTGGTGTTGGGATGTCATCAACCATGCACCTCAAAGCTGATTTCTAGATATTAATTCCATCTTTCTCGGATCCCAACAGATGCAAACGACACCAAGCATCACCAACCCCTCCATTCTGAGAAGCAAACCTTGCGCACACTGCCTGCCTGTCGCTACACGCGCTACAGCACCGCGCTACACGCGGTGTGTTGTTTGCAGGAGGTCCACTCGGCCTTCACCAACGGCCAACACGCGGGTGGCATGGGGCCAGTGCCGGGGCCGCCCAGTCAGTGCCGGTGCCGGGGGGATCCCTGGCTGACCCTCCCCCTGGTCGTCAAACGGACTTGTTGGAGTGTTTTTTTCCATGGAGCTTTGCTAATATTGAATACGTCCCCCATGGTCTATTTGCTTAAAGCTCGCACGAAGTGAGAGATGGTTCTTTTTTCACGCTTCAATCCCGGATTGGCGTGGGACCTGTTCCAAAACATGACTCAGTTAACTGTTGGCTCTTTCCGGTTCTCATTGGACCCATCCATCTTTCAGAAAACCCTCCATGGACCCGACCCATCCCTTCAGCTCCGCTCAGCTCTGCTCCGCTCCGCTCCGCATCCGCTCAGGCACGACCCCGCCGTGATCGTCCAGGCGCCGTCATGCTCTCGGCCGCCGTGGGTTGTACAAGCAAGACAAAGCAAGAGGTGACTCGCTCTCATCCCCTAGAGAAGACTGAGCTGAACATGTCAGCAAGCGGTTCCGCGGATCAGATTTGAGCCAGGATCGAAATTGAGGTTTGTACACGCAACCCTGGAAGAGAACGACAAATTGTCCACCTCAAGGGCAATAACCCCAAGCGGCGCATATGCTCAAGCGGCGCATATGCTCAAGCATGTGGTGAACTCAAAACACAGTGAAACAAGAAGGTACACCTCAAAACCGATAGCGGCCGATTTGAGCTGAAGTAGAATCAAGACGTGTTGGCAGGCTCCTCACATCAAACCCATTTGCTGTACTGGCCCCACTGCGAGACCTCCAGCCAAACCACAAGATCAATGCTCCTTCTTCGCAAGACGGGGGCGGTTCTCCCCGTTCTCCGCGCGCAGCTTCCGTTTCACGCTCCACCACTCGCGGTGAGTGAACTGCCGGCTTCGCCCGGCGCGGCTGTTACACTGCAGGCTGCACGGAATGGCACGTGCGAGCTGTGCCTCAAAACTATGGACCTCTTTATTGGAGCTTATGGCTCGGAGGCGAGCGTCCTAGCTGACTGGGCCACGGGTTGCACCAAAAAGGGCATGGCTAAGCCATTGGCGTAAGGGCGGAAGAGTTGCAGGTGATTGGTGAGATGGTTGGAAAGAGAGAGAAAGAGATGGTTGGCCGCGCTTGGAGGATGGTCTTTGGTGGCTAAAGAATGCAGAGGTGAAGACGTGTTTTGCCGTTTCTTTTGGTGGTTCAAACTCCTTCATTCATCCTCATCATATCTCATCATCATGTGTTTTTTTCTTTTTCTGAGGGTCTTCGGATGGTCTGGTGCTTGGTGGGTGGCCCGCACCGCCGCCTCCCCACGCCCAGATGCCCAGGCCGGTGTTTTGGCCTTGAAGTTCATGCCCTTTGGGGGCCTCTTCGCCGGGAGGGCCCAAAACATCGACCGGTCGCGCGCTCATAGACTCGTTGACTCTTTAATACTCTTTACAAAGAGCAGCCACATAATATATATAAAGGTCCCTGTATCATATAAAGGTCAACCTAAAAGGTTGCCACATAATGTGGGTTAAGAACAGTCCCTTATTTAGATTACAGTTACATAATAATACCTAGACACTCCCGAGGCAATCATTTTTTGCCGTAGTTCTAAGTATTGTTGATATACTTATTGTTGCTACAAGAAAATCTGGAAGAGAGGATCATGTGGACGTGTATAAATGTTCCTGATGCATCAACAGTCAACATGACGATCGAATTAGCACAGCCATCATGTTCAACAGGTGAACTTGGAACGAAACCTGAAGGGACTGAAGGAAATGATCGGTGTGAACCTGGGTGAGCAACGAGTTTGCCAAAGGTTTGACCTTGCTCTATCTCCATGCTGTGGTTGAAGGATGTGGGGCCGTTAACGCAATATCTAAAATTTGGGGCCGTTGCCTAGGCCTCCAAGGAAACATGTCGAAGGCATTTGGAGTGTGTCGGATCTTTCTTGAAACACCACCAAAACACTTGATTTTAGATGATTTTAGAGTCTTGAAGAGATGCTTGAGCTCATGTGACTCACGTGTTGGTTGCTGCAGGTGGATAGTTTTCACCTCCCGAAAACTAACATAGACCCTGACGTCCTGGCCCCCTGGAAGAGTCTTTTCCTCTACCAACCAGTGGTTTTCCGGGTCCATGGGATCGTCTTCCAGGGTGTATAGTGTCAAATATGTGTGTCATCATCTTCCTCTGCTCCTTGGCGCGGCCTCTCCCAATCAACCCCTGAGGTGACCGGGGGTGTCTCCGCCAAGACTCGCCGAAGCCTCTGCCGACGGCGCGTGGACACGGGCACTTCCGGCGATCTTCTGAGGACCTGCGCGGAAAGGGGTTAGGAGAAGTGGATGAAAACCCCAGCAGTTGCATTCAGACACGTCACCTTCCCCCAGTTTGAGAAAGGCACGTTCAGGTCGTGGAGACTGTGATCCACATGTTCTTCACATTCTTCGGATGATTCTTTCAAGCGATGAGCCTGTTTCTCCCACAACAACTTGGACAGCTTCCACCGCCTCTTGCAAGCCACTTTCCATTCAAGCTATCATTAGGTTGCTGAGCAGTCTTCCGCACCAAAAAAAAAAATATCCAGTCATGCCAAGTCTGCTCCATCCACTGGACAAGGACATGTAAAGACCATCGAACCCATCGGTACCCATCGAACCCGAGGCGACTTCATCGTCGGGGAGAGGGGTACACCGCCGCTGGGGCCGAAAACGACGCGAAGCGAAACGGGGCTCAGACGCCCTACTACGAACGGAGCAAGGTTCGCTATGAGCGTAACAAAGGGCATCGCTTCCAATGGAGCAAGTGAACAAAGGAAACACCTGGCATACTGTAATTGGTCAAGTGGGGTACGGCGGCTTTCTTCTCAGGTCTGAAGAAGTTGAGTATGAGTCATTCAACTATTGACTGCACTGGGCACTGCACTAATACTTGACCAGCTTCCGGTGAGCAGTGACTCAGACTTCTTTGTTGTGTAAGTCGTAGTCAATGTCATGCTGAGTAATGCAACAGAATTATGGCCCCCTTTGCTGAGTTGGGCAACACACAAAATAACTCACCTGGCCATCTTTGGCGTCATGAGTCATGTAGACTCTTGTTTGTAGACTCAGTATGCTCTCCAGCCACTTCTCCAATTTCCAGCAAGCGACCGCACTTCGAGGCATCATTTCATCGATTCCTTTCGAGATAAAGGGCGTGTGTCGACCATGCTGATGCTTGGAATGCATGGAGAAACTCATACGTACTGTCGGGGTAAGATGAAGGCTCGTTTCACTACAGAAAGGCCACAAACCAGGAAGGTTCACGCAAGGCAGCAGGTGAAATGGGATGTAGAGGATATTGTGTCATGTTCTTTCTAAAACTAAGTGCCCTTGGTCTTCAGCTGAGTGCGACTAAGGAAAAGAGTCCCTGCAGCGCACTGAGTGCACCGTTCAAAATTGGACAGCTTGTTGAACAAAGCGACCAGTGCGTTAGCAAGAGGATGGACAAAAAGCTTAGTGTTTCCGCTTACAGTGCCATGGGTGGTAGGCATAAAAAGAACATTTGACAGGTTGTGTGATGTTGTTTGTGTGACTTTCTGGGCAAGACATGGCAATCTAACTAACGGATGTTCATCGAAAGCAACTTCGCCTCAAGTCCTCAAGATCTCCATACACCGCTCCCAGCCGGTAGAAAGACACTCAGAAGGGACATCCAGCGGCCGCTGAGGTCTTCCTGGTACGAGGTGAAGACATGGGAGAGCGTGGCGTCAAGCTCAAGGATGGGCGTTCATCCGCTGATCCGCTGGGCGGGCGGGGTCCTGTGCTTTGTCGTGTGGTTGTAGCCTCGTAGTAGCTACCTGAGCGGCCAGCGGAATAGGGAGGCACGCAAAGAACCCCCTGGCAAAAGGAAAATAGAGAAGTAGACTGGACTCAAAACCATTGGTTCGGACATCTCCCTGTTCTAATTCACACTAATGCAAATAGGCTTTGCCGTGAACTAGAGGCTTCTGGGCTAATAGCGTGTCTTCGCACAGCCGCGAAGACACGCCCAGCCACTCGTTGGTTGAAAACCCGAAAGAAGAAAGGCTATTTGTCGGTGATGGCCCGGTAATGGCATGCAAGACTTGTTCAGAAACGAGGCCGCAGGCGCCGCAGGCCATGGTGCAAGGTCCATGGGATCACATCCTTTTCCTTCCTCCCTACTCTTCCCATATTCTGTATGACCAATAGGTATGCTTATATTGTGGCATATATTGTACGGTATGCGCAATACGCAGCGGATGCGCAGGCCATGAGGATGTTTGCTGAAGCCTTGCAACGGCGTATGCAGTCCAAGGGCCGACAACAATACTGCGGTTGAGCGTGTCCAGTGTTGTGCGGACTGACTCACCTGGCTGGGCTGGGGCCCAAATCCTTGAGGCATAGGCTGTTTCATGTTTGGATCTTGACAACTGCAGCAATTAAATAGCTTATCGTAGATGCACATGGAAGGCAATGGGGAGTTGCAATTGCAATTATTGTCGTCACTTACTTGTACAATGTGTCAGCTTCTTAAGCGTTGTGACAGAACTTGCCTTTGCCTTCCCATGAGAACTTTGGGTTTCAAATTTTCAAAAGTTACTCAATGTGGCACTGCACGCTTTGGAGGCTCGTTCACTCGCCGGCAATGGTTTCCCCGCGGCATGTTCGCCGTGGAGCTTACTGGCCTTGCCAAACTGAGTGACACCATGTGGCAGCAAAGTAGTGCACTGTACCTTATACCAAAGGTAACATGGTCAAAAGGGATCAGAAAGCTCAAACCCCCTCCCAGGTGAAAAGCAGGAACGCATGGAGGAACATCGGTACCGACAAAAACACCGAACTGAACTCATGTCAGAACTTTTCCCCTCTTTCACCCTCCTGGAACTCCGTGTTTTGATGGCTATCCATGTAGCACTAGTGATCCACCGGTGAGTTCCACCGTTGAGTTCCACAACGCGTTTGTTGAGAAAGTCTGGCTGGTTGGAAAAAAGCCACGGAGAGGTCAAGCAGTGGATATCCCTGTTGATAACACGTTTGATGTAATGATTGACATGCTGCCAGTGCGAAATTAATGACGCCAGCTGTGCGCTGAACTTCCACAAGGAATGAGGCGCCAGCAGTCCTCTCTGAAGAGGATCAGTAGGATCGACTCAAATGTGGCACTGCAAGTGTTTGGTGCCAAAAATGATGAGTTGTGCAGACTCTCCTTGGAATGTTGCAGGTTCTTGGATGTATCAGGCCCTGCTTGTATCAGTTGCCGGAAGCTGGCGCATTGACATGCTGACACGTTGACTCTTGATTTTGCTCGATGGGTTTTTTCCCTGCTGCAGGCTGCAGATCTAATAATTCGAGTCATTAATCATTAGTCGAACACGTGCTCAGAAGAAGTGCATCCACTCCTGCTTCTAGTTGAGAGATAACAGTAATTCCCAAACTATATCAAACTATCTTTGCGGGCCCCTATCATTGACCTCTGTTACGATGAATCTTGGGCGACTTGCAAGCCTCTCCAGGCATGCGCATGGCATGCGCACGGCTTGCGCGCACATGGCATGCGCGCGCGATGAAACCAAGCGTGCGAGTGGCTCTCCATGTCATGCCGATGGCGCCCTCTATGCCTGCAGTGTTACGAAAGACTGTTTGACGGACCTTGAGAGACGAAGGTACCAGACTTGGTGGACCCTTGCAGACCATCCGGGGTGCCGGGGGCACCACCAATCGCCGATTCCAAGGCCCCAAACGTCAACAGGGTTCAGGTTTAGACATGCGGATTCAGTGATGAATATGATTTCATAGACCTTGTTCATGTATCATCATGTTATACATCCGAAGAAGTTCTGTTTCTGTTTCTTGCCAAAAATTGCATTGGGTCCATCCATTCGAGAGAGTATTTGAGGTCAGGTGGAAGTCAGGGGGGGAATGCCGGGCAAGGTCGGCATCATTTTGGGGGACCATTTTTCTGTACGTCCAATGGTCCAATTCATTCTTTTCTCTTCGCTCCTTTTTCAGACTTCAGTTGTGAGTTCACTAGACTTTACATGCCAAAAAGACATCCAAAGCAGAAAAAGAAACAAGAAGCTACGAACGGGGCTCCTGGCCTTACTAGGAGCGTTCGGACGCTACGAACAGGGGCTCCTGGCCTTACTACTAGCAGCTTTCTTACTATAGTAACAAGAAGCTACTAGGAACAAGTGCATCGCTTCTAGTAACAAGTACCTTACTAGTAGTAACAAGAAGCTGCAGACCCACCAGACCCACCGACAGACATCCACGTCCGCTGCTCCAGACGTCCGGGACCGCCTTGGCCGCGCCGACCTACCGCGGCGCAGACCGCGACCCGCGGTCTCCGTCGGTTTGGAGGCCGGACGTGGACCGTGGACTTCCGGTTTTGCAGACCCAGTATAAGCCTTACTTGTAAGGTCGAGGGAATGTTGCAAACATGTGTTACTTGCATGTCGACATTAGGTAATGTTGGATCCTGATTAGTAAAGGGGGCCCCCCCCCTCCCCTCAAACAAACAGGGAGTCCTCTATAATAAACTATCACTAAAACAAATCTGGATTCCTGCGAGAATTCCTTCTTGTAATTGATTGTAGTATTCATTTTCCTTTCATAGATTGTATTCAGCTTCAATTTTGTAATTGTTCTCAGTTCTCAGAGATCCTTTTGCTTTGCAGCCTCAGATCTTCAGCTCAAGAGAAGCCCCAAGCTTTCAGCTTCTTCCTCAGCTTCCATGGCTTCCTAAGTAAAGGAAGATTCCATGAGCAATTTTTTCCAGTGGAAAAAAACTTTTCACAATTGAGGACCCAAAAACAAATTTATTATTGAGGATCAGGTGCCTTCCTGGTCTACTACCTTGAAAATTTGTTTAGGAGCAATGTTTTATAAAGGGTCTAATTGGGGAACTGGTGGTTTTGGTCAGCTGTCAGTTTTGAAGAAACCTAGAGAAAGCTATATCAGCTAATGAATCATAATCAATGGCCTCAGAAGGAATTCAAACCCTTACTAATTAGGTTTCCAATTTAAAAATTTAGGGTCCAAAAAAAAGTTAGCATTATTCAGGACCCATTTTTCAAACAGGGGGGTCTAAATAAATTTGGAAAAATCGCATTATAGAGGGACCCTTTACTAATCGAGATCCAACATTGTATGTTCATGTATGTTCTGTGTTTGATTCTGGGAAGTCCTGAGAAACTCACATCGTTTCACTCTGAATATCAATGTTTCACGGTCGCATTTCTTTCAGGTGACGGGGATCCCAAGGTTTTTCCAACTAAAACGCCATTGGGTTCTTTCGGTGGGGTTTCGATCGGTGTTTGTCTCCGACCCGGAAACGTAGTGGACACTCGGTGGACGCAGCGTCGATGTCCTTCGGGCCATGTTCACTAAGGGCAGTCAGGTTCCTTCGGGTGACGCAGGATCTGTGGTGATTCAGCGTCGATCCGTGATATTTGTGCTGTGAAAACTTGGTGTCGATTTGGGTCAAACTTGCAATCAGCACTAAGCGAGTATCGGTCAACAAGTCGAACATCACAGCGGTTAGAGATGTTTTCTCTAACAAGCAAACAACACATCTATTAGGATCGTTTGGGGATATACCCCAGACATTCCACTTCAACCCACAAAGCATCGATGGCCCGGCGTTTTTTCTCCCTTCCAAACCGGAAGAATCCTCTGTCCGACCGGGACGTCCTCCGAGCGGCTTCAGCCGCATGGAGGCCGCGTGGAGGCGACGAAACGCTGGTTGGATTCGATTGTCATTGGCTTCTTGGCGGCAAACGCTGGTTGGCGTGCGAGCCAGTGGAACCTGTGGAGTGGCACTGCTGTTGTTTTGTTTTTTGGTTTGTCACAGGTTTGGTACCAAGTGGGTCAAGAAGAAACATTATTCGTTGCTTGGAGTATGTGTTGCACTGCACCATAAAACAGAGAGTCATCACATGTCATCGTCATAGACGGTCATAGAGGAGGAATTCCGCAAGAGTATGGTTCACCATGGGTGTGACCAGTGCCCCGAATGGGCTCCGGTCCTCTGTTGAACAGCTGTGCCATGCCATGCCGGCTGCTTTTGAGAAAACTCATCGTGCGGTGTTTCTCCAAGTTCTCAAGCAAGGTTTCCCTATAGCATAAGGGGCACTAGAAAGGATGTGTTCTATTTCTCTCTTGGGGTAGTATGATCGTATATAGAACATTGATCATACATATGGAATTCAACATCTATATTTATAGCTATTTATATACGTCTTGCGACAATCTCCATTGTTTTAAGGAACCAACTCGTGAGAAACCACACAGCGGGTGACGTTCGCTTCACTCTTCAACCGACGTTGCCGAGGTGAAAAGCTGTGCCCCTTCGCCGCAGCGGTTCGGGAGGAGGGCCCCGATGTCCCCAGTCGTTTGATCTCGACCTCTTTCCCCCCAATGGTCAACACCGATGTCCGCCGGGTTGCCGCCTCCGGTTCACCGTGGCTTTCGTCTTCGGTGGAGGAGCAGAAGCTTCGTGTGCTTGCCAGTGAGGCCAAAGATGCTGAGGAGCGATGGACGGGTGACAGCGGGACGATGGATTGAGTAACTCGTATGGATGAGCGTGTTGCATCTTGTTGCTATATCGAAGGTGTTCAGGGTGTAGGCTGCCCTGGCCATCCAAGACCATGAAAGAAATAGGTGACCTAGATTTTGGAGTGTAGAATCCTTAGCAAAACAATGGTAAGTAAAATCAATGGTGATTCGAGTCCTCGGGGGTGTGTTGTTTCCTTTCCATTTGAGGTTCCACGGTATATCGCGATATGAATCGATAGGAGGAAGATGTGTCCAGGCATAGGAGATGGGGCGCGAACACATGATGATTGACGACGATGCAAATAATCACTTATTTCAATACTAATTGTAATTCCCAGACACTCCATTGCATGCAATATAATGCCCACAGTGAGCCTTTTCAACCACCCCAGTGTATGTAAATATGCAAGTCCCATTTGTTGTGTTTGGGTTTGGATGCATGGTGGAGGTGCACAATACACGCACATGTGGTTTGGAACTGGGTCCACAAAAAAGGCAGTGAAAGATCGAGAGAAGGAGTCCAGGTCCAAAAGGAACAAGTACTATCAAGTACTATGACCCGTTGTTGCAGTGTGGGGGTAGGGTCTGGCAGTGGGTTTGGCATATAAGAACCCAACTGATTCCTGTTTTGATATCTTGATAGGGAACGCATGGAACAATAGCCAAACTCAGATCTTAATAATTGCCCTCCCTCCTCCCGCACAAAACCTACTCTTTAAGGAGTGCTTAGTGCTGAATGAGAATTGACATCTAGTCCAACATGTTAGCCATAAAACATGTTCCACCGACTTTTCATTGGCCAACATCTGGTTTCTCTCAACCGCAGATGCTGGCCAAAGAAGTGGCCACGGAAGCTGCAATTCTGGTGGAAGGTCTGAATGGACAGGAAGGTGCCTGGGACGAGGACGAGGATAGCAGGGCGGAACCAACAGGGTCGTACCGGTCGAAGCATAAGGATGTACCATAAGGCGGTCATAATGGGAAGATGGCATGGAATGTTGGATGAAGGATGTTCCTTTACGAACATGCAGTGCTTTCCACTGCCATCTGAGTGAGGACCGGTGGCTACTGTTTCGGGGTCGAGGTCCAGCGTTGGTTGGACACATTCGATCACATTCGCACCTTCACGGCTCGGCCGATCATGTCCAGCTTCAGGGACCGATCTCGGCGATCGGTGTTGCAGATTTGGGGAATCAGAGCTCTCCTTCCCTTAAGAATCAGCACTCCTCAGCAGTAGCAGCCAAAGTCTTAGCAGTTTCTCCAATATCCTATTCGGTTTCAGTCCACCGCGCCGGGGGAGTTCTTGAGGTGCACCAGAGACCACTTTGCTGGTCGTTGATCCGCAGCTCAGTTGCTGTTCCACCTGGCAAAGTTTCGTCCAATTGTCGGTCGCCTCAGCGAACCGACCGGCTTCGTCGGGCGACCACCACCGCACGGGAGCGACCCACCAGCGACCGACCGACGACCGCAGGGCGACCGTTTGGGCCGGTACATCGCCGGTCGCACGAGGTCATGGACCCTTCAAGAACGAGCCATCCACGGGCAAGGCGTGAGGGCCGTGAGGGTTTGAAACGACGCGCGGCTCTGCCGCGCAGCCATTGAAGTCTTGACCAGGCGGCCAGCTGACAAGAACAAGTCTCCACAGGATCTCCCCCAGTCATTAGAAGTCCATCTCAGTAAAGGACGCCGTTTTGGCGTCCGTTGAGTGTTCTTGTTGGTGCCGTTTTGTGTTTTCCAGGATTTGCAGAGCTCTTGCAAATTGTCCTGGCCTCAGCATTCTGCAGATTGCCGGCCCAAAGGGAGCCCTTTGGTGGTGACGGGTTCAGGGTTGGCTTATGAAGACGGGGGCGCCATGGCAAATGGCCAAGTTGCCATCATTTCATCTATGACGATTCTAGAAATTATTGACCTTATTTTTTTTGCAGTATCAATCAAGAGTTCTCAAAGAACTGCCACGATTCCTCGATATATATATATATACATGGCTCCAACCCAAACACAGCATCAGGAGACCAAGCCTCCCAGAAGCTTCAAACTTATGTGAGGTCCAAAACCCTAGTTGTGAGGGTCAAAACCCTAGCAATGAGGGCCTAGCCTTTGGGTTGTGAAGGCATTCTGCCAAGTCGTTCATGGATGTTCATGGCTCATGGCTGACTGGCACCAGCAAGAGACTGTCCAACATGCTTTGCCCGTCTCAGACGAAGGAACACCCCATCCGCGGCACCCATCCGCGGCGCCTTCTCCTCGGAACACCGACACCCCTCGGCCTCGCTTCATCCCATCCGTCGCGTCGCACGGGGAGCGACGCAGTCACAGCAGTTACAGCAGCGGGAGCAGGTGCTTTTTCATCCAGCTGCTGTCCACAGTGTTTATGCCGAAGGGCCACCGGATGCGGCCGACTTCACGATTCGCTCCCCCTTTCCGACCATCCATTTGCTCCGATGCTCGGCTGCACCGAAAGTCGAAGGACCTGAGGGATCCTGAGGGACCTAAGAGATGCCTGAAAACACCACTGCTTCAATTGTCCTTTCTGGAAAGTTTTGAAATTGAAGTTCGGGCATCCGAACACCCTGGAAGTTCGGAGTCGGACTTCCATGCCCTTTTGATCACTGTTTCAACATGTGTTCAACACACTTGTGTCTTCTTGCGACATCACGTTGAGCCTTGAGAAGTCAAGCGTTGCCAATCCAAAGGCCGTTCCGGACGGATCCGGCCAATCGAGGAGAGGCAGACGTGATGCGAGCGGCCAGGAGAGCCCAGGTCGCGACGTGTCAGGCGTTGGCTGGAAGCACCGACCACATCCTGTGGTGGGTGCCGAGAGGAGAGCGGATTGGAGCATGCCAAGGGTCGGAACTTCTCACCATCTGAGTGGGCTATCTCTAGCCGCGTTCCATTCATCCTTGCAACATCCATGAGTGGTTTGATATGGTTTGATGTTGATTGATGCATGTGTCTTCAGATGGCCACGTCAGGTCACCAGCTACCCGGACACGCCCTTGATCCCCGCACGGAACAAGGCCAAGCTGCGAGGCAAAGGCCTCGAGCTTTGCCAGGCACAGCTGGATGCCTGTGGAGCTGTGGACCTGCGGTCCTCTGGTGGTCACACCGAAAAAGAGAGAGAGAGAGACAGAGAGAGAGAGAGAGAGAGAGTGAGAGAGTGAGAGAGTGGAGTGGTCAGGCTGGAGGTCGGTCAAGGGTCAAGGTCCTTGCCAGGAGGACGCAGCTCAGGCATTGTGTTCATGTTAATTACCGTTTTCGGCCTGACAAAGCTTCGAAAGCTTGCGGATTTATTTTTTTGCGGTGTTTGGTGATTTGCCGGAGGTTGTTTTGGTTCCAAGCGAGCCTGGCCAATAGGTATGAGACGAGACAAGATCCAGCAACTGGTTGGTGTAGTATAGAGTATAGACCCCCTTGACCATGTATTGCATGTTCCATCCAATCACCACCCGGTTCCTGGGTGGTGCTGAATGTTATTGTGGTTAATTGGCTTTTCCCAGCGAGAAGAGATCCACCGGTTCCACTCCCCATTTTGTTCCGCACATGTTGTACACGCGGATGCACAGTCCGCACAGTCCAACATCAATCACTGGAAGCGGGATGACTCCTTAGGAATCCCGTTCTTTTGGAACTAGAGCTACAGATCTGATTGACTGGAATTGAAGGGGTCCCAGTCAGCGGCACCTACCTTGCCATTAACTTTGGAACCTATATTTTAGACTCAGATGATACTCGCATCATCGAATTTTGTCCTTTACTCACAGAGACATGGTGACAGAGCATGGCTCCATGTATTCCAGCGCTGCCTATGTGGTGCTGGTTATTGCCTTTGGAACGGTGTTGCATCCTGAGCTCAAGGCATTTTATCGCCACGGGCACGGAAGTCGCCTGGAGGAATGGCTGAAGGACGGACACATCGGGTCCCTACAGGCCGTCAATAGGTTGTTCCCGGTTGCATCTTGGAAGTGTTGGCTGACCCGAACACACCTCTCCAGGTCGCCACCACGTTTTTGCCCCCACTTTTTGCGGTTGGAACCGGTGGATCCTGTGGATTCTCTGGAAGTTTGCTGTGCCCCACGGTTGGCCGATCCGACCAATCCGTTTCGGCAAGAAGACCAAACTTTGTGATACAAAACCGTGCAGATTGTTCAAAACATCACATGTGGGTGGAAAGACTGGTTTGGTGTCGACATTTCACCATGTGTCACCCCAATTTTTGAGCAAGCTTCAAAAGGCCAGCGGCTTACTTCTACAATTTCTTTAGCATCTAGAGCTTTCGGTCATCGATCCAGACCTTTCCATACACCTTTGTTTGAAGCTCCGAAGTGGGTTGAACTTGGTGTTTGCCCCGCCAACGCGGTTTCGGCGCGGTTTTGGCGCTCACACAAGACACGAATCATTTAGACTCTTAGACGTTATTTAGACTTATTTAGACCCCAACACCATCAGCACTCATGGCGCTTGTGTTTTGTCGTGTTCTTGTGTTGCATGCTGTCCAAACCACTGAGGCATGAAAAACACCGTCTCGGCCATTGACACGATCGCGGCCTGTTGCTTTCTCTTCTTGCTGCGCTGTGCAGTGTCGCTGAAGAGTGAAGGCTCTAGCCGACCTTGGTGCGAGAAGCTACGCTGGGCAGCTCCGCCCGGCATTTTCGTGTCACTGGGCGGCTAAGGCGTTTCGGGCGTCCGTGGTTCATTGTTTTTGGTGGATACAAATTGATCTGTCCAGATTTGACCCAGGGCTGTGTTTATGGACTACCAATTTTTTCCCTTGCCTTTCCTAGTGAAACATCCATGTTCCGTGCTTATTTGCTGGTGTCCGAGCATGTTCCCTGTTTAAAACAGTAACTATAAACGAAAGAAACAACCTTCATAGATGGCCCAAGAGCATCGAAGGGGTTTCCCTGTTTTGCACTCTCGCTTCCAAAAAGAATACCTCAATATAGAGGAAGCCATGATTCTCCATCAACCCGGTTGACCGGGCTCTTCGGTTCCTGACGGTTCCGTTCCCTTCAGCATGTCTCCCATCCTTCACACAGGTTCCTGGTGATCACTTTATCCACTTGGGCCAATTACCTCAGCTACGAGACGTTCGCCCTGACTGCTCCTTCGGAACTGCTCTTCGTGTGGTGCCTGGCTCGCTGCTGCCAACACGAGGAGCGACGGAGACCCGTAGCACAGGACCTCCCTGCGGTTGCTTGGAGAGACACAGGACGGGAGTTGAAGTGAGTGGTTGGCGCCTACAGAAAAAAGAGGGCAATGTAGACAGGTTGTTGAATGAGCCCCCTAATTACTGTATTCAAGCACGTTAATGCATCTCCATGTGAGGGAGTTTATGTTTGTTTTATTCATGAACAGTCTATGTTTAGGTTCATTTGGTCACAAACAGGGACGTTGACACACGGAGAAAGACCCCTCCATGTTTGTGAATCGGAGACAATCGGAGAGAGTCTGATTTTCTTTGTTTGCTTATACTGCACTGTTGATGACATGAGAACAGACACAATCGCATGACAGAGCTTGTCTCAGCGCCATCCCACTTCATCCAAGTTGTTCATTTGATCCATCCACGGAAGTGTCCCAAACTGGTCCAAAAATGTACAAACCCTCAATGTTCAGGACGAATCCACTTTCACACCCTGGAAATCAAGAGAAGGACGCTCCCCGGACCACAAGCCCCCCCCAGAGAAAAGCTCCGAGGTGTTCTTCACCACTCTGGGCACCTGCTGCTTGAGCTTCACCAGCTCCAGCTCCCACGCGTTTGATGCGCTGCTGGCGGCTTTGCTGTGCCGTTGGTGCCAGGCCTCGATGACTGTGGCCTTGCGGAGCTGCTGCGTCGTCTTGTCCGGCCCGGGCAAGGAAGAGACCGTCGCGCGGAGAGAGTGGTGTGACTCACAGACGCGGGACGCAGCCGGGAGAGAGTGGGGAGAGTGGGGTTCAGAGGTCTGGGGTAAGTCAGATAGGGTGTTCTTGAGGCAAAGCCAAACAAAATTCTGACTCGAAATAATTCGTCATTAGGGTCTTCGGGGTGCTATTTACGCTATTTAGGGTCTTCGGGGTGAAGATCTTGGGCCTTTTTCTTCGAGCGTAAGGAGCGTAAGGAGCGTAAGGCGTGGGTCATCCATGAAGAGCAGTCGACTATTTTAGACAACCATTAAACCTTGTTGCATTGTTTCATGGTGAGAATGCCATTGCGCCTAATGGGGTGAAGCATTTGCCCAAGGTCAGCGTTCTGGAGATTGCACAGCTTAAGCTGATGGTCACATCATGCCTTTGTCTTCCCTATGCCATCATTACTGAAGGCCACTCTGACAAGACCGGGCACATTTGCATAATATACATCCATGCATTACATCATATTACATCGCATTGCATTCCATTGCATTACATGACATTAATACATTACATGACATTACTGTACATGCATTACGTTCATGACATACATATGTTTGGGTCATGGCACCACGTGCAGTCTACTACGTTTAACGTGAAAATATGCGTATACGAGGAGTTCATGTTCGCTCTCATGTTCGGACCAACCAGGGATGTGATGTTAGGGTGCCATAAACCAGGGTTGATCTCTACCCAATGAGAGAAGCCATGGATGTGGAGAAAGGTCATTTTGTAGAGGACCAAACGACGGCTCAAAGAGGGCCCACCAATGACTACCCTTGTCATGTGACACACATACTGGTCTAGAGTCTAGAGCTTAGGAGGTGACTTGTCCATCACCCTGTTCTTTTTTTGAATGCGTGTGACTGCCACCATGACGCGGTACCAATCCTGAGACCCCTTTTGTTTGACTTTTATTGCCCACAACCTCCAGGTGTTGCGCCATGGTCTACAATTGTCTCTTCTTCCTTGTGGGCAGACCACAGCTCTGCCATGTTGCTCATTGGCAGTGTTCTGATCACCATTGGCTCCTTGGAGATGAGTAACGTGTCGATGTTGGGCAAAGCAGTGCAGAAAAGGCGTTCATGAAATGTTGCTTGGTCATCACCCTCCATCTTGAGTCATATCAGTTGATGGATGTTGATGGTGATATGAGTTGATGGTGATGATGACCTAAGAAGAGTCGATTCATGTGCTGATGTTTTTTCTTTGTCCCACTTGATGAAAAAGGCTGCCATGTTCCACAGAGATTCTTTGGAAGCCCATGTGCCATGCGGAGCCAAGGCTTTCAATGGTCAACGGTCGGCCTTAACAGGTCCTTCCGAAGTCCACTTTGCGCGTTGCTGCAAAGCACCTTGCAGCCCTTGACCAGCTGTGTGCTGGTGCTACTTCTGGCAGATTCACCCTGGCAGAAGATCTTGGGCCTCAAGCAGCTCCGTGGTACTATCGACACTTGGAAAGGCAAGCAGCCAGTGTGAGCACCCACTGGTGTAATGATAGGCAAGGATCTACACCCGGGAAGATGGAACCGGAAAATGGACCTTTTCAAAGACGATTTTCCTCTAGAACCCAATGGTTTTCGGGTTCCATGTCATTCTCTTCCAGGGCGTAAGAAAAGGATTACGGTAATCAAGCTTCCAAATCGGGACTTCGCACTCTGCGGACAGGCCCTGGCACCTGGACAGTCTTGTTGGTAGAGAGCCTTTCGGTACTATCCATAGAATCCGCACAGCGATCAATATCCGGTGTTGCATGATTGTCCTTAGAGTTTGTACATGTTTGAGCAAGCTCGTGTTCACATATATATATATATAATGAATAAACTCAGTAATCATAGTATACAACTCATTTCTCAAATAGAGATCTGTATGTCGCTCAGAAAGCCATGCCGCGGTGCTTGCCTTAGGACATCATCGGCTTGTGCTGCCTCATGGTGGGTTTATTTCTGAGCGCTTGGGTATCACGAAGGCAACTGACCTCTGCGGATGAAGGGATGGAATTCCCAGACCGAAGGCTGTTGACCTCAGGCTGAAACCGCTGCCTGTGCGCCCGACGACCGGTCACCGACCGGAAAAGACTGCCTTCCCACGGTGGCGATGGCCTTGGCCTTGGCTGGCGCGGGATGGGGGGAATGGGGATGGCATCTTTTGCACCGGTCCTCCACGCAAAGAACATCCAACATCCAACTCAATTGGAGTTGGTTGGTTTCCGTCCACTCCTGTGGGGTGAACAAGTCGTCGGCATGGGCGGGCCAGTTCCAGAACTTCCCTGCATTGCGTCTCATGATGATTTGCGTCTCATGATGTCATTGTCATGAGTTCTCATGATGTTACATGATTCGTGTGCTTTGTCCAGCACAAATCCCCAGCACTCGGTCTTGAAAAGCGGAATAGGCAACCTCGGCGCTCGAAGCATGTGGAAGCCCACGGAGGTCACAAGCGTTCCGCCACATGTTTCTTTGTTTGCCTCACCCTTTGGCCCGAAGCCATATCCATATCCCTTTGATGCAATGAAGCAGATGAAATGCCCAGCTGCAGCTACAAGTGCAAAGTGTCATTGGTGCTATATATATATATATATTATATACAATTAACATATGCTGAGCTCCAGTTTGTTTTGCTCCTATCCAGTCCAGCCTCACAATCTAACAAAGATCACAACAAGTAAGTGCATACACAACTTGCCATGGCGGAGGATGACCTCGCAGCAGCTTTGGCCATGTCGATGGAGCCTAATGAGGCTGAAGATGCCAGAGCTGATGGAGTTGACATGAGTTGTCAATGTTCATTGCTCTGGTTGCTCTTCCACCGATATAGAGACCATGTTATTGGCAGATGTTTTTGGTGTGGCTTCGATCCAATGGAGGTTCTAGTTGTATTGCAATTTATCATTACAGAGATGTTGTCTCCCCTCTGAAATATCTTCGATTGTATATGCTCGGTCAAAACGTCCATGGTCCATGGTTGTTCATGTCAACTGGACCCTCCAAATTCGTTTCACACTGCGTGCCTGTCCGGCCGTCGACTTGGTGGTGACGTTCCCAGCCGAAAACGGTCGAACACCAGGCGAGTGGCGCTCGCACCGCTGGCGCCTTTGCGGTGCGACGGCTCCGGGAAGAGAACACGGCCGAGACGCTTAAAGAAGCGAACAGTGTGGCGGTGCTCACCACGCTCTTGGGGAATCTGGCCACTGGTCTGAGAAGGCACTGGGCGCTTATATGTGGGAATCATATAGGAACTATGGCCTGGCCCCGAACAGTGTCCTTTGCTTTATTTGTTGTTTTGATTAATCGTCAATTCACTAAGAGAACCTTTCAATTGAACGAATTAAACGTACTGACACCTTGCCTTTGAACCAGCGTTTCCTTTGCAGGGTGAGATGCTTGGAGTAAGATGAAATGAATGCCTCAAGCCACGGGACATTGGGCGCCGGGTGGAAAACAGCTTGGATTCAGTGATTGTATAACTTTAATTAATATATAACTGGCTTTTGATTTCTGACCTGGAAGCTGTTTTTGTTCAGCTGATGACTGGAAGGCCAATGATCACAGTTGCAATCTTTAATATAACATACAAACTTGCTAACTAATCATATGCGGAATGCCAGTCAAACATGCAGATCAGTACCTCCTCGACAATCCCTACCCTTCTTAATCAACCAGCGACCTTTCCGCAGCTCAGGTGAAGAATCCTTCCGAGGCGACCGGCGTTCTCATGCGTTCGCATGCGTTCCTTGTGACATCCTTGTGTCGTCCTTGGAGTCGCATGGGAAATGGGTAGGGAGACCTCCCATTGAACGACCGGAAGAAGGAAGATAGCCAAGTCTACCGGTTGGTTGGGGATCTCCGTATTTATATCGCGGACAGTCGAAGCGGCGAGCACCCAAATATATGAAGCTCCTCCCTTTAACCCTTGCATGTCGGTGGTTGAAAAACGTGTCCAGTTGATGTAGAGTTGAGATGTTCGACTTATAGGCCAAGCATAAAACGTCACCCGTTCGGAACCCTCTCCGGTCCGTGACGACTCGGACATCGGAACGGGACCGATCCCCCGGGAGCGAGTCAGGAGAAGTTCCGGCGAGTCAAGCTGTCCAACCCAAAGATCAGCAGCCTGAAAAGGGAAGCGGAAGGAGACGACTGAAGACCACTGAGCGTGAGCGCAGAGGCAAGAAAGTGTCCAATGGAGTGAAGAAGAGGTTCCGCCCACGATCAGCAGAGAGACGTGCTCGACGCCTTTGGGACTGGATGAGTTGCTTACATACATTTGGGGGATTTTTAAGATGCTTCAATTGTCAATGTAAATTATATTCCATACATTACAATTTAAGATGACCAATGTATTCCAGACCATGTGATGCTTTCATTGTGTATTCCATACATGCATGGTCTGGGATTACACATCACAAACATCAGCAGTTCTCAAATGCGAAAAGCGCTCGATGCGCAGCGACGGCTCATGCCCGATGCACATGGTGGGAACATGTTGGAACGGTGCACAAGGCTAGACACTAGACACGAGAGAAGAGTAAGCATGCATATGTAATTAGTCTACATGACATATACATGGGATTGGTTCAGAGCAAGAAAACACATACTCGAAGACATGCACAGGCTTCAAAAATCATGCGGTGTAATATAGGACAACAGTGAAGCATACAAGCTGGTGTTAAAGCGCTACCAAGATCATCAAGGGATTTACCTGTGCCTGAACAATCATCGGGGGGGAAAGACATCAATAGTTCCCCAAATGTATGGCATTTTTTGTATGTGTACAACATAATTGAATTGTCATATATAAAATTATTGAATCGCCTCCTTCAAGATGTTTCCCTATGTATATTCTATATATATTGTGTTGCTAGACATTTTAAGACCATGTTATATGGTGCTTACTGGCGCTGATTATACGTTGCTACAGTCACGTCCCAGCCCCCGTCGCGGAGAAACCCACTTCTTTCCCCAACACCCCGTTGGACCGTCAGCGGATTCACCAACGGATCCACCGGCGGATCTACCGGGCGGTCTAAGGCAAAGCGTTGAGCTGCTTGGGCGCTCAGGAGCTGCTGTTGTCCGCGGGTTTCGTGAAGAGTGAGGAACTCTTGGAGGCCACGGAGAAGCGGGATACGTATCTTTTGGAGGGACGAACGAAAGCATCGAGTGCCGAAAACATCATCCGAAAAACAGCAAAGACGACATCATATCATTTATTCGCTCGGGGTTTCACTCGAAGTCTCCCCCGCCCGACGGTGACTGTGTTTGCCGGTTTTGGGGTGCGGCACTTGCGCCGGTGTGCCGGACTGGTACGGAAGTATGGACGTGACCAGCCTCCAGTCGATGGCTTGCAACAACAGTTGAAGGAGAAGAGGGCGAAGAGCAAAGGAAGACATCTCTCGATAGAGAATCAACACATCATGGGCTCATGGGCGGTTCTTCCTTTTGGTGTGAACACTTTTTTTAGACTATAGACACTATTGTCCTCAACCCTCAACCGATATGATTATCAATATATATATATTTGTTTAGTAGTCCCCCGCTTTGTGCACAAGCTGTCTTCCACACGGCAGGTGCCTTCCAGCAGCACGCCTGAGAAGGTGAAGGTGCCTTGGACAGAGATATGGTCTTCCATCAGACTCTTGACTCCAAGAAACGGCCTGGTGGTGTGGCAAAATGGTGGTCCAATTCCGCTTTCTGGGTGAAGAAATGAGAGAAATGAGATGCTCCATGACACCACGGGGTTCTATAAGGTCAGGTTGGAACGCAAACTCGCCCAGGCTGATGCAGAAGCTGCACTTGAGGCCGCATTGACCGGGCCGCACGTCGAGAGCTGCGCGTCGTCTGATCGACGTCAAAGACCACCTGAGGTGGGCGCGCGGTCCAGTATGGTCCTGTATTTGGTATGTGTATCCAGTATGGTCCTGTGTATGATCCTGTATTAGAGTATGGTGCAGTGTGTTTGTATTTCAAGGTATCTGGCTGCTGTTTAAGGGGGTGCTGAAGTTGCACCTGAGGATCTTGAATACCATCACAATGGTTTCATTAAAGTATAACAAGCGACAGCGATAGTGAGTGAGTGACAGCGACAGTGGGCCCCCTGAGAAACCAAAGCAGCCAGCGCAAGTCACTTTTCTCTGCACAGCTGTGGTTCAGGCCGCCACCTGCAAGCATGTGATTCGACTGAGACTTGACAATTTAAAAACTCAATGATCGAGAGAGTCATCAATTAAATTAATATTAATCCACGCAGTTCATGTGCAGAATCTGACCACAAGGTTCGCTGTCCCAAGACTAGTAGGTTCGCTGTCCCTCCCTGAAAACTTAGACTAGTAGGTTCGCTGTCCCAAGACTTACTTGATCACGGAATAAAACACCCCAGTCCAGGCCTCCATCACAGTAGGCTCATACATGGATGCTTTCTCACCTCAGCAGAGTGGCTGGAGCAGAATTGTAATAACCACACACACACACACCAGCACCAAAAACAGTGTCAGAAGTTTCGACCCACGCACTGGCCCAATGAAGCCTTTTTCCCCCTCATCAGTGTCTGAGATGCTGCGCATCTTTGTCTGAGGCGACGCTATGCATCACTGTCACCCAAAGACACCGATCGAGACAATTGCAACCCCATCCCAACGCTTCTTTCTCTTCAAAGGTGGGTCAAAGAGCTTGCCTCCATGTTTTGTTTTTTTCGGCTTGGCTGTCTCACAGGTACCTGCAAGCTGCAAGAGTGTGCAAACTAAGTTCAGTTTAGTGTCTTGGAGGACATCGATTCAAGTCAACAAACATAAATACAAGTCTAGTGGCACGCTTTGAGATGACAATCGTCGACCTGCCACCCCAAGAGCAACATCTTGACACATCGTTTGCCCATGGCTGCTTGGGGTGATTTATAGCGGATCACCAGCTGCCTAAGCCTTCTTTAGCAAGCTGCAAAAAATTCAAAGACAGTGTCACAAATTCATTCCCAATTCCGAGTTTCAATGAGTCTGAGGAATGTTTTTGTCAGTTAGTTAAGTCCGACATGTGCAAGTCCAGGATGTCACAGGCACACAAAAACAACTAAAGCTCCAAGGGTGGCGGACCCTTGGATCAAGTTAAATGATGACAACAACAACAAACCAACTGCAATCTCACAACAGCGACATATGCCCGTCGGATGTTTTCCTTCCCATCACAGAGCCATTGGCCCGCAAGATTCGCTGAACGACACCTTAAATGTCAAAAAATGGCTGCTCTTAAAGCGCTTCAGCTAAGAGATTCTTATTTTTATGGGCACTGCTCTGACAATGACGACAACGACAACGATAAATGTTTGGTGGAGAAAAGGAATTGAATTGCTAGGCAGCCAACTAACGGGAAAAGTTCAAGCCTACTCCGAGTTTGCTTCTTCGCTCAGTTGTCCTTCCTCATCCTCGTCGTCATCTTCATTGCCATCATCATCGTTTTCATTGTCCTCCTGATCTTTGGGGTTCTTTGGGCGCCCACGTCCTTTTGGACGACCGCGACCGCGGCCTCCGCCGGCGCCCCTTCCCTTACCACCATCTTCATTGGAAGGCCGGTCCTCCTCCTCACAGCCACCTTCACCATCCTCGCTCACAAGAAGCTTTGCAACTTCTGGTTTGTACAGCTTGCTCTGCGGATTGATGAAGGACTTGAACACACAGCTCGAGGCAACCTTGTGGAACCAGGTGGCATGCTCATCTGAATGGCCTGAGGTGGGTTGCGGCTGAGTTAAATTACCGTGGATTAAAAAATTGCTGGCATGGGCCACTAGACTTTTATGGTTAGACTCTGACTGTCTGACAGTGACATCATCAATCAAAGCAAGGCACAGAAGGCAACCACTGGAATCTTGCATTCCAAAATGGGCAGGATCTCCACCGGGTCACTGGCGCAAAAGAGTGTGACACTTTTTGGTCGAAAGCGGTGGACCAACTCGCTCATCAATCCATGTCCCAACGGGGCCCATGCCATGGGCTCACGATCGTGTCCGTCATCGCGAGCCGTCGCCCTGGATCGGGCAGAATCTTTCACTTGGCTGTCAGCCAACATTGAGAGCTTTACGCTCGTGGCTATCTTTGTCAAAGCTGACGGGTTCACCTTGGAGGCAAAAAGTCAACAACCGTACAACAAATGTCAATCACTTTAATTAAGAGCCAGCACATACTTACCTCGATATAGCCAAACCACCTTCGACACTCCACTGATCACGTTGACTTCACATGATCCACCATGGTACTTGTTGTCGCGATTGCCAATGATGGAGGGCAAATTCTTCCCTGCGGCGATCAAACAAGCCTCGAGGCAGGAAAGGTTGAGCACTCCTCGACCAAGCGAGCTTCCGCTCGGACAGCGTTCGTCGCGCCATTTCTTGACCGACTGCTGGGTATAATTGATGTAAAACTTTTTGGCCAAGATCTTGCCAGGGAATGCTGAGTTGAAGTGCCCCCAGAGCCCTTCTCTGCCGGAATCCAAGAAAAGAAACCTGATGATCAAAATGGAAAAGAACACGCAATGTAAGCTGCATCGGGGTCACAAACAGTGTCACAAACTAACCTGCTGGACAGCGACAGACAATGACAGATGAACACTTTTAACAATGAACTTGCTGCAAAGCTTCACGTCTGAGTCATCCATGTCTGGAATGACAACCTTTTCCGCATCAAAGTCTATCGGACTGCTGGCGCGACAGGACAACATCGCATTGAAGCATTTCTCCATGTGATCTTTGCGGAAGGGCACCACACTGGCAAGGCAGCAATAAAAAACAACTGAGAGATTGAAGTCTTCAAGCCCTCCCCTTACACACTTCCGCCCCCCATCCACAAGAATTCAACGACTGACTGATTAAACAACAAAAAACATCTTAAGCAGTGCTCCCATGCCTTCGGCCATTGGCGTTCTCCCCAGATGCGTCCACATTGTAGATGTGCAGTGTGCTCTTCTCAACATCACCTTTCAGCGACGCAAAGGAACAGCCACGAAGATTTTTGGCCAGCGACACCAGACTGCCATTGCCGTCCACAGTGAACAAAGAACGCTGCACCAAGTCCTGAGCGTCCTGCCCACAGCAATGCTTTGAATGCTTTTGAAAAACTCTACGCAATGTTCGACAACGATGATGACAATGATCAAGTCTGACACTTTTAGCCTGACACTGACTGTCTTGAGCGTCTACCAAAATTAAATTAAAGCTGAATTAGTGCCATCTGAATTAAATTCACCTGTCGAAATCTCAGGCTGCTCAGGGAGTTGAACTCTGGGCTTCATTGCTGCAGTCGGCTGGATCCTGCTCTTCATCATCAGAGGGTGCAATGCCACGCTCGGCTAGAAGCTGTCGACGCTGCTTTTTGACCAACGCGTACCACGCAGCATCATCAAATTCAGGGTTGCCAAAGAGCAAGTGACAAATATGGCATCCGCAATCATTTGGGTGTTGATCTCCCCAAAGGTATTCCTCTGGCAATTGACTGTCGGACAGCAGCGGCACATGATGGCTTGTTGAGAGGGGAGGCACTGATGATGCCGCAGTCCTTCCATCAACACAATCCTCCACAACGATCACTGCTGTGCTCTTGAGTCTTTTCAAAGGAGGCTCGCATCGATCAGAGGAACTGCCAAGACAATGACCAACCATTGCAGGAAGCGTCTGAGTCAACTACGATTTTACAATGACAAGTCACAAATTGCTTCAGCGTGCACAACTCAATCACTCGGCCAGGTTTGACATTTCAATTCTGCAAGGGGGAAGTACGGGGTTTAATGTGTGAAAGTCTAATTAATTGTTAAATATAGTATTAAAAGACAGCGATTCAAGTCACGTCCTTCTGAGCATCCTTCAAGATGTCTTGCTCTTGCTTCTCCATGCCAAGGATCTTCTCTTCTGCCCCAGGTGGCTGCATTCTCAAGATCATAGCGAAGTCACCTGAGATAAGAAAATGGCTGAGGATTTCCCAAGCAAAGAGTATTACTGGCTTGAAGAAAACAGAACTTGCACAGAAAAATGAATCATGAATGGATTTCCAGTTGCTGCTCTCCAACTTTTGCTCCTCAGAGAGATCCTGCGGTTTGGTTTCATTCTCCTTGCTGTCTTCAGGTGAGATGACTTTCTTCCACTCTGGCTCCACATCTTGATGTTTCAAGACATCATCGATTTTGTGGTTGTATCGGAGCCCATTCCTGATAGCTGCGTCATAGGTTGTCCCATAGATGAAGTCAGAGATGAACTTGAAGGCATGCTGGGCCACTGGCGAAAGCGCTCCTAGCCAAGTCATGTCCGATGCAGCCACCTGCGCTGTGCTGGGATCCAGATGGCCCTCCTTCAAGTCTGGAGACTTGCCAAAAGGACGCCCTCCAGTGTGTGCTCGATAGCTGGCAGGATCATGGAGCACCTGGCATAGCTAGACAATGACAGCAAACCAAAACAATTCAATCTTTCCCAAAGACTACAGGGCACTAATAAACCAAAAAAAACAACTGGCCTTGCCTTCTTGAGAGTTTCCAAATCCTCAAAGCTAACCAGCCCTGACTCATCCACGTGAGCGAAGAGGCGCCGCTTGGCTTCGTACTTGAAGATGTACATGTGGACAAGCCTGACTCAAAGGACAGCGATGAATAAAAGACAATGAGCAAGAGATTCATCATCAAACATCAAACGTCCATTGGGACTAAGCTGGCAACCCCTTGCCAACAGCTGACTTACGGCCGCTCAAAGCCGAGACCGACACATCCCCAATCCGGATCACTTTGTTCACCACATGGTCAAAGAGGCCGGAAAGCACAAACTCAACGTGTGCAGGGCTGCGTGCGATCTGGGAAATGGCTTCCAATTTGTAAAGAGAGTCAAGCGGCCCCTTCTTTCCAAACCACTGCTCGCTGCTCAATAGAAGGGAGCGAATGCTGGCGTTCGTCAGGAGGTTGTCGTGGATTTGAATTGCCAGCTTCGAATAGCTCTCGGTGATCTTCTCTCCATGGGTGACCGTCAGGTTGGAGTTGAATGCAGCCCACAACTGACCTGCAGTCAGTTTGTGTCCCGCACGGGACTCTTCCTCGCTTCTCCATTGTACCAAATGGAAGATGCGCTGCAACTCAGTCAGCCAGTGGCAAACCAACAAGCAAGAAAACAGTTAATAAAACGCTCAGCTGATCAACCTTTCAAATTGCAAGTTGGCTGACAAGCAATAAAACAAGTAACGGAGTCAATGCTCAACCCTTCATTTTGCAAGTTCAATGTCAACACAATGACAAGACATCGACTCATTCAATGCTACTTCTGCCAAAGTACTGTCGAATAGTAGAGGCAGTCAAACTGCTCACCGATTCGCTCCCGAGCCTTTGCTGCCTGCCAAAAGATGGCCTCATAGGACGTGATCTTCACCATCCTAGCAACACAGGACTTCCAAGCGGCCACCCAACCCTCCACGTTCTTTCCAACTGAAAGGTCCCTGTCTGTCGACAGCACAAATGCATGGTGTTCTTCTTCAGGTGAACATCTCCGCAGCATCCCATTGTGCTTTCCTGGCCATGATGAGGCCTCCTCGACAGCGAGCTCCAAAGTCAAAGGAGCAGGTTCTCGGAATGTAGCGTTCATGAGGTACCTGACCTGAGGTGAAAAAGCGAAGAGAGGTCCCTTTAAGACAAGCCATGAGATGCTCCATGACTGAACTAAAACACAAATCACAAATTCATTTAATCACTGTCAAAGAATCTCCAGTGCGGTTGATCGGCACACCTGGTGTGACAGTCCAAGACCATGATACCCAGGCAGCGTTGATGCCAGCCAAATAGTCCTCAGAAGCTTCCATCTTTCTTGCCATGACATCGTAGTCAACGGGCTGGCAGAGGCCGCCACTCTTCAAGCTGAGCGGAGATTCACCAACAATGCCACGGAATGCATCATGGGCCATGATCCGCTCCCAGGCGGCGGATACCTCCGCATAGTGGTCAACATTGAGGTTGGTGTTGACTTTGACATCCGCTGCGCTCGCACTGGCTTTCCGCTTGGCAGGTCTCTCAGCGGCCGAGGCCGAAGCAGGACGCCGCCCCATGACAATGATTGAAGGTCCGCAAACTTACTTCAAAATGACTGCGAATTATTTAATGAAGCTAACACTGACAGCCATTGGACTGCTGAACTGTTAGAGCGACACTGAAGCTTAAGAATCATGGTCAAAACAACAATGCAATGACAGCGACCAAGCTTTAATTAGGCAACACTCAAGCATTATTAAATAAAGTCATTGTCAAAACAAGAATTCAATGACAGAGCGGCACTGAAGCTAAAAAGTCATTGTCAAGTCAAAACAATGATGCAATGACAGAGCGACACTGATGAAGCTAAAAATTGTTGTCAAACACCTTCTTTTCATTCTCAAGGGCCCAAGTCTTGGTGACAACGAATTGTTCTGAACTTGTTGACAGCGACAGGCTAAACCGATTACTTATATAGCCCTTTGAGCCAAGCAAGCCAGCAACTGTGGAAAGTTCCACAGAAGTCATGAAATTACTAGTTGCACTCACTTCTTCAACAATCTGCCTGCCACAAGCACCGCTCTCATCGCTGCTGCAAGCACTGGCACGCTCATGGCGTTCCCGATCATAGCACCACGCTTTGTCTTGGGGATCCCCTTGGGCCAATTGATCTTCTTGAAGCCCTGCAAGAGCTCAAGCTCATGGAGGGTTAAGTACCGACGCTCCTTGAGCAAAAAGACCGATCTGGATGCCCCCCGTGCTCGAGTGATGGTTGGTGTCGCTCCCTCACGCACTTGTCTGAACTCTTTGCCAGCACCACAGTCAACCACTGCCTCCGAAGCTCCCGTGTATGTCTTTGAAGCCCACCTGAAATTCTTCTTCGCTGTCTTGCTCTTCAACTGACGATCCCCAGGAGAAACTGTCAGAGGACGCAGGAACTTTGCGAGCTCAGGCTTCTTGCTGATCTTCGGGGTGGGATTTTTTGGCAAAGGCCTTTTCAACCCGGAAGCACTCTGGCGCACACCCAAGATGTAGACTCGTTCTCTGTGCTGCGCAAGTCCGAATGACAACGAGTTGAGCACAAAAGTTTTCAGGCGATAAGCCGGCACAGATGGTTTGGCCTTGAGCTTCGCATCCTTGATCGTCTTGATAAACTTCTTGTAGGCATCCTGCTGAGACAAACTTAAGACAATCCGATGAACTGTAGGTAATTATTATATAAATTTAGTCAATTGATCGGAAGTCATGGCCAATCATTGCAATGTCACAATGGCAACAAAACGGCTACCCTAAGGAACTTTCATTGCTAGCCACTGCAGTCAGAATCCAGTATGTGTTTGATTGGCCTGCTTTTTAGAGACAAAGCCCTTCACATTCTCAACCACAAAGGTTCTTGGTTGAGCTCTTGCGATGTACGTGGCAACTTTCTGGCTGAGATCTCCTGGGCTCAAACTGAAGATATCAGGTTTCATGCTTCAAACACACCGCAGCATGGCAGGCCACATAAAACAGAATATGATGGATTTAATTGAAACACCCATCCACTCATCTCATCCTTCCTTTGTTTTTCCTTCCTTCCTCCCTTCCATTCTTGTATGGTTTCGTTTGTTTGCTACCTGTGCTCGTTTGTTGTATGTACCATTCATTGACTCATTACCTCACTCAGTCAGTCAACCAAACAGCATTCATATTCGTTGGTTCGTTGGTTTGTTCGTTCGTTCGTTTGATCATTCATTCATTCATTCATTCATTCATTCATTCATTCATGCATTCACGCATTCATGCATTCACGCATTCATGCATTCATGTTAAATTTCTTCATTACTACTTATTCCTTTCGTTCATCTTGATTTCTTTTAAACAAACACAAACTTTAGTTGTCGTGGTGTTTGACTCGAAGGGGCCAAGCATCTTTTGTCAAGGCGGCCTTGGCGCTTTCCGGCACTGCTGTAAGGTTGACAAGGCATGCCCACTGTGTAAAGGTCGATGTCATGGCTAACCTTGTCACCAATCCCTGCTGCTTTCAGGATTCGCTCCGGCCGATCACAGTGGTTTCGAAGCACCTGTCGACAAGATGCATCAATCTCGGATGCGAACACGGAGCGGAAGGTTAAGCCAAGCTCGGCAGCAGCAAAGGCATCTGTTCCAACTCCGCTACAGTCGGAGGCGATCTTGATGGTAGTCTTGGTCTGTTCCACCATGTTTGTCAGCCCTGCAAGCAGCTTTTCAAGGTCTCTTTTGAGTTCACAGCCAAATCTGATAGCAGCAAGACAGACAACGACGTCAGCGACAATGATTCTAAGATGATATGAAAGCTGACTGCTTAAAAAACATGGCAGTATTGAGTGCAACAAACAAAGGCCTCATGCCTAGCAAGCAAGACTCAGTCAATGGTGTGCGTGCAGTATCAACTGTCAGAGTCACCAACAGACAAAAAGCCAGCGCTCAAAGACATACTTCTGAAGGTGAAAACTATTTTCAGGTGTGTAGCTTCCGTCTTGGTTTCCAAGATCTAAGGGTCTACCAACAGAACCTAGGCCCCCTCTCACTTGCTGCCTTTGTCAATGTTCAGCTTTCATGGCGCCTTTGCCAATCTTGAACTTTTGCCCGGCACTTGGAGCATCCCTTGTACCTGCATTTGCTGCATCCAACTTGAGGTTCAGGTGAATCTGATTCAGGCAGGATGCTCGGAGTGTGTGTCCCCTGCTCGGATGGTAACTCCTGCGGCTGCGACTCATCATTTTTCTTACTGGGCGCTGCAGCTGGTTTCTTCAAGCTCGTTTTGTGTGTTTTGCTGGGCCTCGATGCCCTGTCTTCAAGCCGGAGTCACTCACGCATGGCTTCTTCTTGGAAGGTTTGGATGATTTTGCAGCTGGCTTCTTCATAAGGACATCATCAGTCAGGTCGCTACTGGTACCATCACCTTCAACGGCAAAATCACCCAGGCGGTAAGTCTTCTGCGAAAGGGTTCCATGCTCAGACAGTTCGTCCCCAGCAGCAAAGGATGGCCAGCAGCTATCACTTCCATCACGCCCACCAGACATGACAACGACGAGTCAAAATTAAGACAAAAAGCTTGCTACAACTTCAGTCACCTGGAGCCCGGACGATGTTGAATGTTAAAATTTCAGTCAAGTAGCTCAAACCCGAAACGCAACCAAGAAAAGAGATCTGAAAATGTAACGAAGTCAGCGTATCATCGGGAGAGGCGACGCCCCCCAGCACCCGTGTCCTCTCCCAATCGGCGACGTCCCCCACTTGGAGGCTCTAGGTTTTGATATGGAGATGCGTCTGGTTTGATTGGGAGTTGATACGCCCTCTGGGAGGCGTGTCAGGTCCAAATCATACTATTTTGTTTTGATACGGGCCTCCAACTGGGCGACGTCCCGATGGGAGCTGATACGCCCCCTCACAGGCGTGTCGACTCCAGATCGTACAGAATTTTGGTGATGTTTAAGAAGTCTCCAAATGGGCGATGTCCCCCATCGGGAGAAAATAGCAATATTCTCCAGATGGGCGACGTCCCCCATCGGGAGAAAATAACAATATTCTCCAGATGGGCGACGTCCCCCGTCGGGAGATTTTTTTTGTGGCAAGTCCCCTCTAGGCTCAAAGTTTGCTTCTTAATGACAATGACTGGCTTCTTAGCCTTTATTCTGTAGAACTAATTAAAATCTTAGAGTCACTCCGGTGTGTGAGGTTACGCCGCAAGCAAAATGACTGGAAGCACTGAAACTGACTGACAATGATTTCGTTTGACTTGAAAGGGATCAGGGATCGTCAAGGACAATGATTGCAAGCTTAAAAGACTAATGCTGCTTCAGTCTAGCTGCTTTTGACTCCCAACTCTTGACTTCCAAACTGCTGCATCGCCTGGGACATTTCTCAACCAGGTCTGACAAAGACATGGTGACAACCACGCTTGTCTAGAAAGCACAAACGCATGTCTAAAGCTGAGCCTGCGCAAGATATGAATGCTCGATAGATTTGGGGTAGCGCCAAGTTGCGAAGGATCTCGATGTCATCGCTCCTGGAATATGTTTCCATTGGCGGCTGCGTTTTTCCGACTCAGTGACTAGTGCAAGGCAGTGCTTTGGGAATCTTTGGCCTGTTCTTGAAGCCAATTTGCCCTGCCAAGATCCCAAATCATTTTCAAGGCACCATCTCATCACCAAATCTCCAGGCCTCCTTCTTCTCAGAGTCGAGCGGGCCAAATCAGCTAGGTGGCTATGTTCTCTTTGGAAAGATTCAGTGATAAAGACAAAGTGACTAGTGGTGAAATTTGGATTGTGCTTGATCCAGGGTCCATCACCGCCACGGAGCACAGCTTGAAGTGACACAACCAAGGATGGCTTAAACATGGCTTGCCATGTGACCCTTTGTCCTGGATTCGTGACATCCTGGACCACATAGGTGTCGGCCACCTTGAAGTCAGAAGTTGTAGTCACGGGCATCTCGCGCCTGAGTTTGCACCAGTTAGCATGTTTCTTCAATCGATATCCTGAAATAATAAACAATAAGAATTTAAATTCGTTCAAGCTTCAATCGGCTCAGGCACGCCTCCTCATCAAGGGAAGGTAAACGTCGAAGGCAAACCGCACGGCCATTGAGCAAATTCTCCAGGGATTTTAATTTCTTCTCGAAACTTGCTGTCACACGCTGATGCTTCCTGAAAGCTTTCCAATCATCATTTGACTGCTTTTTGTTCAAAGCAGTAAAGGCTGCTTCACCCATCTTCTCGTCTTCAAGGAGCTGATCTGACTTTTGCGCTTCAAATCTTCTCTTTTTGATCAGGCTTTGCAAATGACCTTCCTTCCGATCATGGCCATCTGACCATGCATCACCAGCACGCCTTTTGGCTTTCCTTTTCAAGTCAGCCTCATCACCTGTCACCAAGCAACTTGAAGATGAAGCTCGAACTGCGGCATTGACTGCCTTGCGTCTTCGTTTCAGCCAAGAGTTCAAAGACTTCTTGTTCACAGCCTTCTTCTTCTGCAAGCTGACAAAGTTCATCCGCTTCTCAGGGCCAGATTGCCGAGGCCCGTTGAAACCCTCCAGCCAAATTCTTTGCGCTTCGACTGCAAGCTGGTGCAGATACTCTTGCGACTTTCCACTGCATGATTCAGATAGCCTTCTCTCTGCTGCACGCCAAACATCACAGGTTAGTCCTCGAGAACTCCTGAGGTAATGACGAGTGTTGTGAGCAAAATCTCGCTCGTTGTCTGCTGTGGATCCAGTGGCCATGACAACCACCTTGGAAAGGATGGAGCTAATGACATCACAGGGCGATGTCCCCGACGGATGCTCCAGCTTCATTCCAATGGATTGCGACCATGCCTCTGACTGAGAAGCTAATGGCTTTAAGATGGCTTTAAACTCTACTTGTTAGGTGGTGCCCTTCAATAAGAGCTCTTTTACCAAGAAAACCTTCGAACAAGGCACCCGATTGAACTTGTTTTAGGTCTCTCGGCATGACAGCGATAGCATGACAGCGACAGAGTGATAGGAATGGCTCATTTGGGGCTTCACTCAGGTGACATCTTACACAAGCTTTCATGGAGATAACCCCAAACTAGCCTTCAGGTCATTGAGGGCTGTCTCCTTACCGTCGTCAAGCTTGGACCTGACCCGGATGGCAGTGACCTTGAAGTCATTGAACTGCTCTTGCAGCTTGGGGTAGTCAACTCTGAAGGCCTTTGCAAGTTTCTTCAAGTTTTCACTTGCGTCAGCTGGTTTCAAGGCAGGCTTCAATGCAAAGGCGGCTGATGATGCCAAAGTTTCAAACGATGGCCATTCAGCTTGGACCGTGGTCACAACCAAGCCTACCCATGCTGCCATCCGCTTAAAGCATCGCAGAACAATCTCATCATTGCGGTCCAAGGCCCCAAGTCTCCGAAAGGTTCCATCACTCAAGCGAATCAGCCGCTCCCGCTGCAGCCACTGCATCATGTAGGCTGTGTAAGTTGTTGTTGATGCAGCCTTGCGGTCCACAAACAACCACTCCAATCGACGCAGCAAACCCTTCAGCTTGAAGGGGATCTCACTAACCTCCACAAGGCTCTTGTCATGGAGGCGAATCATCTCGCTTTCTTCATCCCCTGCATCAGCGCACATTGCCTTAATGACAAGTCAAATATAGTTGCGACAACGACGACTTGACTCTGCTTGA